TTTTTCTTCATATTCTGGAGGGTCTTGAAGTTTAACATATCAATACTTGATGGAAAATACATGTTCCATGTTATGTCTAAGATGTTTGATATTCAGACAGTGAGGTTAAGCTTAACTGCCTATGTTATAGAGTAATAATATCATTAAGCTTCTCTTCTGGTGGGTTAACAACTTAAATTTGCAGACCAAAAATTAAAGAAAAAGAAGGACTATAAGGACAGCCAATATTTTGGCCCTAGCCTTTCAAGGTCAGTAAGGACTCAGGAAATAGGAGAACCTGTACTGTAACATCCTGTAGCTCAGTTATGTCCCAAATTTTCTGATCAAGGAGATTTTGGGGCCACAGAGGAAAGTGATCAATGATGTAGAATGTGCCTAAAGAAAGTCACATGGAGAGAAAACATTTTCTCAAGCTTTCACAGAGAGCAAATTGGTCAAGCAATGGCTGTGACTCATCCATATGGCTGACACTGACAAAATCTACAAACTGAGATACAGGGTTTCAGGTTAAATCCTGAGGGGATTTGACTAACTTTATCAGATACAAAAGTTACATTTCTTGTTATATAGGTCTTGCTCTTCCTTGGTCTTAACCATCCAGCAGGAAAGTATGAAAATGAAGTATAAAAAGTAAAGCCATATTAATATGACAAGCTGTAAAATGCTCAAGTGAACAATTTAGGACATCGACAATCTTAGGGAAAACCCACTACTATTATGAACTATTGGACTACATTGGGATATTTTGCTGAATTCATGCATCTAAAGTATTTAAATGACATTGCAATGCCCTTCTCTGCAAAACTAACCAAAAAAGGGTTGATTTGCAGGTAGGTTCGTGATTTGCAGGTAGGATCTTGTAAGCAAAAGAGCAAGACAGGGTGGGCTCTTCTGTGACTTCTTGATGCTGCTCCTCATAGCCAGCTTCTATAGGGGTAATAAAGGGAACCTGGACAAAAGATTGCATTTTTTTGTTACCTGCATGTAACAAACGTGTATTATTGTGGTCAAATGAGTGACCACTTTGTATCTGTATATTCAAAACAGTTAGGATAGATATACAGCTCCATTCTCTTAATTCAATGAATAGAAAGGTTTGTTCTAATAGTGTTTGAGACAGAATATCAGGTCTGCATCATGTACAATGAATAACCCCTAAGACAACAATATGCAACATATTAATTATTGAAAATGTACTAGTAATCGGTTGTGAAACTGTCTCATTGCTATTTGTTTCTCAATAAAAATATTTTTTAAATATAAATAAATAAATAAATAGCCAGGGAGAACCCAAAGGATTTCTAAGAATGAAATAAAATAAAATAAGGCATGGTGTGGGCTGGAGGTACAGCTCAGTGGTAGAGTACTTGCTTAGTACGAACAAGGCTCTGGGTTTGAGCCCTACAGTAGCAAAAAATGAAATAAAAATTAAAAAATCTGTAATAGTAAAAAAAAAAAAAGTAAATGTAAAGCACTTTGCAGCAAGATAGCACACAGTGAACATATGACCACAATAATACACATTTGTTACATGCAGGTAACAAAAAAATGCAATCTTTTGTCCAGGTTCCCTTTATTACCCCTATAGAAGCTGGCTATGAGGAGCAGCATCAAGAAGTCACAGAAGAGCCCACCCTGTCTTGCTCTTTTGCTTACAAGATCCTACCTGCAAATCACCATTTCTATACCCTTAGAGTGGCCCTAAAACTCTGAAACCCACACTGGTACCTTTCTCAAAGGGACATCACTGAAGAACAGGGTCATAGTACCTCCTGTAACTCTATTCTGCCTGCCTTTCCTGCTCTACTACTTCCTAGAAAAAAGTCTCCTTCACCATTCCCAGAACAGAAATTAAATCTATATATACAAAAAGGAAGAAATGACTGCTACACTGATTACATGACACTTTCAGTCCCAAGGCCACTCTTCTTACCTGTTTTACTGCATCCAGCAGTCGCTCCAGAAGAAATTGTCTTTTGTCATTGTTCTGTGATCCTAAAATGCAATGAGGCTTAATTAGTTCTGTTGGACATTAGCCTTCTATTAAGACTTTCTTTCTTTCTTTCTTTTACTATTAAGACTTTCTGACATTATAGTATATGGCTGTCCCCAACTATAATCAGTCCTTTGCTGATCTTTAACAAAATCAGTAGCAAAGCCAGTACCAATAATCGAGATTATTACAATGAATTTTGGCCATGTGCCTCTTAGCATATATCACAGGAAAACAACGAAATTAATTTTCCCCAAATTTGAAAACATGTCCACAGAGCCCTAGGGGCTTCTGAATTATGGACATTGTAGGAGATAATTAGCAACATCCCCCTACATAAAATTAGCACACATACTCTGAGTTATGACAAACATTGTCTCCAGACATTGTAAAAACATCTCCTGAGGAACAAGGACAAGCAGGGAATTGCCCCCAAATGACAAGCAGCAGTCTAGCACAACATGTAAGTTTCCTAAAATGGCAGGTACTGCTTGCTGACTATTCTTACTATCATCTCCAACATCCATTTCCCATGCCCACCTCTGCAATCCAAGCAGAAGAAGCATAATTACTCCCTTTCTAAGAAGCTAAGTTTGTTTTGTTTTATGAATACTGGAGGTTGAACCTTGGGTTTTTGCACTGAGCTATACTCCCAGCCCTATTTTTACTTCTTTATTTTGAGCCAAGCCTTAGTTTTACCCCCTTTCTAGATGGTCTTGCTATGTAGTTCAGGCTAGTCTTGAACTCACTCACTATGTAGGCCAAGAAGCCTCAAACTCAGTGATCTTTCTCCCTGGCCTCCAAAGTGCTAGGATTACAGATGTGTCTCATCACACCCAGTAATAGGATCTCACTAAGTCACTAAATTCCTCCAGAGTGCTGCAATTACAGATGTGCCACCACACCCAACTCCTTATTTTTTGAGACCAGGTCTTGCTAAACTACCTAGCCTGGCAATCCAACTTACAAGTCTGCTGTCCCAGCACAAGTAGCTGAGATTATAGGCAGGAATCACATGATGCCTTTTCATACAAAGAAAAGATATGAAGGCATCATGCTTTCCTCTATCCCCAGTCTTTCATCAAAAACATGTTGAGTAGAGCCAGAAGAACATCTTGCCACCACAAAGCCATGAGGGAAAAACCACGAGAAGCACGAAGACACCAGCCCTTTTATTGTGCCAATGCTAAAAACAACCTAACTTTCACCAAATAAAAAACCTCATAGGTTTTTTTTTTTTTTTTTTTTTTTTTTCAGAGATGGCTGAATCTAGAGCATATGATTGACTCATGGGGTGATGCTGGGATTAAGGGAGCTGGGAGTAAGGATGGGTGATGGCTGGATCAGTGCACTGGTTAGACTGGCACTGCCCTAGTCCAGCTAGATTGGATACAATATAAAAGACAGAAAGTGGTCTGGCTTGCTCTCCCTTGCCTGCTTTTGCTATGTTCTGCTGCCATAAACTGTTTTTCCTCTGGGATGCCCTTCTGCCATGCCAAACCCACCCAATTATGGATTGAAATCTCTACAAACTGTGAGGCTATAAATAAATCTTTCCTCCCTTAACTTTGTTTTTTTTTTTTTTAAACATTTATTTATTTATTTTGTGTGTGTGTGTGTGTGTGTGTGTGTGGCCAGCTCAGCCCACCAGGGGGCACAGTTGGCTGGCATGTGGTGCTGGGGGATCGAACCGTGGCCCCTGTGCTTTGCCTAGCTTGTTCCAAGTAAGTGCTTTAGACCACTGAACCATCTCTCCAGCCCCTCCTCCCTTAACTTTGGGTGGTGGGTATTTCATCTCAGCAAAAAGAAAAGTAACTAAGACAACTGGGCTGCCACTTACAGCTAAATATATTCCCAAGGGATACTTATAACATACACTGAACTTCCATTTAAGATGGTCAGAGGCAAGGGGACTGCAAGACATCAAGTGGACTGTTGTCAAACAACTAATAACTGCACAAGATTCCCAATGATTCCAATCAACAGAGATAAGGCTGTGAGTTACAATGCACCAAACCCAGAGCACAATCATTTCACAGGATACTCAATCTTAAGGATGGGCCATGTCACAGTCTTCAAATTGCCACTAAGCTGCTTCTCTCTCAGCCAACCCGATGTGAGCAACATGAGGAAGGAGCAGCATGGCACTGCCCAGACACAGCCAGTGATTCCTGAAAGTCAGGCTAGGGCCAGCCAGTTGAAAACAACTTCCACTGTGTGTTGAGCACTCGTGCATCTGGCACTAAACTGAGCACTCTACGCCTAAATCTTCTCTTAATCTTCACAATCACATTATAAGTCAGAATCGTACACTACAGTTATAAAACAGCTGTATCAAATAATATGTGTACAGATGCACTCAGATTTTCTTTAACTTTTACTAAGCACCAAGCAACACTCTAATTATTGGGGACACAGAAAATAACCAGCAAAAAAGGGCCATCTTCTCATGAAGCTAAATTTTTATTATGAAGAAACAAATAGTATGTAAGTACACTGATAAACAATGTCAGTGTTAGACTTGGAACAAAGGGATGAGATGGAAGAGGGGAAGAAACAGCAACTTTAGCAAGTACAATCCCAGGAACATCTGCAAAGATGACATTTGAGCTGATCCCTTCATAAAGAGCAGGGTCAGTCATAGAAATATATGGAAAGGCAGCATAATGAACAGAGAAAACAGGTGGAAGAGATGTTCAAGCTCAGCTTCTGATCTTCCAGAACTAAAAAGTCTACTGTGACTTAATCAAGAAACAAAAAAGGGGAGGGGGGGAAGATCAGAAAAGCAGACAGAAGCTAACAATGGAAGAGGTTGTAAACTGGGAGAAAGGGTTTGGTAGAACTATGATTTTGGGGGGGATTTTTTTGTGGTTTTTTTTTTTTTTTTAAACAAAGTCTTACTAAGTATTCCAGGCTGGCCTTGAGCTCACTTTGTAGATTAATGTTAGCCTTAAACTCATGGCAATCCTCCTGCTTCAGTCTCTCAAGTGCTGGGATGACAAGTGTGTGCCACCACACCCTACAGAACTGTGATGCAAGACCATTCCTCTTTAAAGGCTGTGTTGGGACCACAACACAAGTCCCCTGTCTTACCCCAAGACTGGAAATAATACCAATGAGTAGGTGCCCCACAACACACACTGCAACACTGGCTCCTCAAATGTTACCGTCATCACTCTTCCTGGAAGAGGTTTTGATAAAGGAAAGACTACACCCCATTTCTTCCAGACAAGAGGCCAACTAGAAGCATCACTCAGGATGGGTATAGATCTCACCTGGCTCTCTAACACCACCCTCAACACCTGATCTTTGCTTAGGTTTAACTTCTGCTCTTACCTGACACAGAGGTAAGACACAGAGTAGAAAAGGCAAATTTGCTGAGTTCCTTTTTCCAAGTACCATACCTAACCTTATTTGCCCTTGGACAACACCAATTGGAAACTACAGTTTTGCCCCAGGAACTGCCTTTGTTATTTTTTTTTTTCTTATCATAACACTTCTGTGAAAAAATACGAGTGAGTGAGAGGACCGGGCTGCAGGATCCTGAATAGACCCAGAGTGCAGGCCCACCAAGGAACCCTTCAGCAGAACTCCCTGCAAAGATGCTAGAGGCAAGACCCACCCAGCTGATTCAGGAGCAGAACATCTTGCCAGAGAGACACAAAGGGTTCAACTCCAACCGCTGCAGCAGAAAGAAGTGGAGCACAGCAGCCAGATCCAAACAACACCCACCTGGAAGAATCCTAACTTCACAGATCCGGACCTGGTGCTAAGGTAATAACTATCTAAGCTCTACACCAA